TATTTTCTTCTTGCTCTATTGAGAGAGCATTTTGATTAAAGTAAATTTACGTATATTATCTTATTGAGAAGATAATCGTATTTTTAAGAAGTAAAGCACGTATAAATTATCTTATTAAAAAGATAATCATAATTCGTCAGTTATAAATCTTACACATATTACCTTATTCAGAAAATAATTAGTCATATAACCCTCTTGGACCTATAAAAACAAATAATTGCCATGAATACAGTCACTATTACCATTTTAAAACAATTATATACGCATAATCTTAAAACGGTAACAATATTAATTAGAATAAGATGAAAAATATATCAAAAATTGGATTAAGAGTAAATAAAAAGTTTATCTTATAAATTTAAATTTTACATAATATCAGATAATATATTAGACTAATGAGCAGATAATATAGTATTAAATAATATATAGAATGATAGTGACAAATAATATAGTATTAGATAATATAATATTATGTTAGATATTAATAAAATCATATATGATTTATTTAATCAATTAAATTGATTCTACGTGATTATTCATTATATTGAGATATATACAAATAATAATGAATTAGCCAAATAGATTTGGATGCAATATAAAATAATTTACTATTTTCATTTAATATAATCAGCATTATTATATATAAAAAATTCAGTTCTGAAAATTTTGTTCATTATATTTAGATTTCAGTATAAATAGATTTGTTATAATTAGAGTTGACTATAATTATAATTTAATTATAATTTTTTAAATAATTATTATAATTGAATTATAATTCTTTAATTAACTATCATAAGTTACAATTAATTAAGATAATATTTTTAATCTAAATAAATACTCACATGCTAATAATTACTTAGTAACTAAATATTATATATATAATAAAGATAACTAATTTTATAAACATATAAAAAACAAAAAAGATACTTTTTAATAATATTCTAAATTCAATTAATATTAAAAATAGCTTATAAAATTTGAATATAAAAGTAATAATATCATTTTATTATTAATAATATTCAAAGAAAATGTATTAGATTTATAAGAATCTATACCATTTTGAAAAAGTATTTTTGTATTAAATAAAAATAAAAAATTATATTTTAATTTTTGTAATAATTGTGAATTGGAAAATTTTTAATCTGAAAAATATGTTCATCTTATTATATTATAGAAATAGATTTTAATATATAAAGAAAATTCTATTATGTTTTAATGATAAACTCAGGGATACTTTTTTCAAAAAAATCAAAACTGAGTATAGAAACCTTCATTTTCTAATGCTAAAGAATTTGAATTTGAATTTTCCAGCTCATTTGGTATATATATCATTTCCGTAATAAAATACTTATGTTAAAACTTATTAATAATTAAATGCTCAAAAAAGTAAGAGTAAATTTATTACACGAAATTCAAAAAAATATACTTACACCTGACTTACTGTATTTCTCGAAAAATTTCCTTTAATATATAATTTATAAAATAAAGTATCAGAAACGTTTTGCAAGAAAATTCGAAAGAAAATAATTTAAAAAGTTCGTTTGATCCAGCTCAATATTAAAAAAATGATTTCGGAATTATGAAAAGAAGCCGAGTACCCCGTTTAGCAAATGTATCTAAAAATACACGACGTATTGCAGCGTAATATAACATGGCGTGACATAGCGTGGCATCGCATAGTATGAAACACACAGAGCATAGCGTAACAAATGTGAGTGATACGTATAGCCTTTTTCTCTTTCGGGATTTGTTTCGATAAATTTATGCTACCTGACTTATCAATAAAAAAGAAGAAAAAAAATTCTAGAACACAACATTAATTATTATTAAAGTTGCACGCATTAATTGCATTAAACACAATGAAAGAAAAGGAAAAAACGCAGGAGTAAGAAAAAGTTTGGGTCATACTGTCAATCCATCTACATGTACATGAAATCATACAAAGGCCATAATTTATAATCAAATGGTATTGTTTTGCATATTTATGATTAGCTCGATCAAGAAGTAGTGTCACCTTATTTCATTATACGTTTTATTTAATAGTAATGTTATGTTATACTGCCTTATTGACAGGTAATTGATAATATCTTAGCCTAGTTGTATAATTGAGTTGACTCCAAAGGAGGAGTAATAGGACGTGGATACTCTGGATAATTCTGATAAGAACGAAAAGCCAATGCAAAGATTGCCACGATGAATGGGAAGGCGAGTGCTTCAAATACTAATGGGATCACAACATGATCGAATAGAAGCACGGAGAGGATCCATAGAATTGCGAGACCAAAAAAGATCCATGTAAGTACAGCAGACGCCTTTTATTAACAATTAATGATTGAATTTATTAACGAATGGAAAAACGTGTAATTTGAAATACAATTAAAAAGAAAATCAATTATTTACCGCTGTGGCACCATGTCCAACTTGTGTGGCCTGTGTTTTGATGATTAACGAACGAGTAGTAATAGATAAATACGAAAACAATGACAATTAAATAGAACTCATACCACAGTTGCAATCAACAGCATTAATGTCGCATCTCTAGCAGCATTAGCGGTTTTGGCGTAACGACTTTCCGACTCCTCTCTACGTTCACCAGTCAACAATGCAGATGCTTCCGAGACACCTTCACCGCCAGCACCTGTCGCTCTTGGAAATCCACGACTACCTTCGCCGGTAAGGTGTTCCCTCTTACGAACAAACTCAGCAACGAGAATTAGTGTGGCCCAAATAATTACGAGTCCAAATAATGCAATGTAAGATCCTTATTTCTTTTAGTAGAAATGAAAATATAACACGAAAAAGGGAAAATACGGAAGACAATGATAATTTACCCTCGAGATAATCATTTCCAAAACCTCTTTTATCAGAAAAAGTTCCCATCGTTGGAAAGTTTTTTTACGCGGTGGAGTTTTGGGAAGAATAAGTGGCAAATATGGAACCACGAGGATGGTTTGTTCTTATTGTAAGAAACAAGAATGCTTTTTATATTGAAAAAGGTTCTTTAATTTGTGACTTTTTTCTTGTAGATTATTACGTTGGTCTCGGTGGGTATTATATATATCGTAGTTCGCACACTCTAGCATTTTATATCAATCAATTGGTGATGATATATTATATAAATTTCACTTTTTAGTATTAGTAATTATGACGACAGATGAAATAGTGAGATTAAATTTTTATGGGAAAGTGGGAGATTGTTGATATAGTGGTAGATTGATTGAATTTTGACGAGGGAAAAATAAAGTATCCTTCAATCTCGAGCGCGTAGTCGAAATTTAATTTGCAACATTTTTCTTTATATATGTTCGAGCAGTTCTCTTACACAATCGCATCGCGTTTTTCAAAAGTAATAAAGTTCAAATCCTCTTGAACTTAAAAGGACAGTCATAACAATATGGATAATTTTAAAAAAAGAAATTTTAAAAAAAGAAAATTTATTAAACGTTTAAATTGATAAAATACGGATTCCGATATACGTATCTGCTTTTCTGGATACTAAAGCTTTATTTACTGTTTCGAACAAGGATTTCAACTTGTTATTCTATTTAACACGCCAGATATTATACCAAAGAAATAGTTTCTTTAGTGTTATTATGACATTAATAATACCTTGGAACTGGGCAGCAAGCAAACATAAAACTTCTCATCTCGTTATGGAAACGCTTCAATCTAAGATAGTATTTGATTGGGAGGTTGGGGATCTCCTTTATACATATATATTGTTAATTAATATGGCAGAAAAGAAAAGTGTATGGTAATGAGGTGCATAGTTTCCGCTTATAATGAGTTAAATAAATAAAAACAATGACCGAAGCCGCATCTATTTATGGAATCTTTAAATTTATACTTGAATTTATAAGAGTTTAGATTTGATTTTAGTTTAGTTTAATTTAGTTTAGTTTGAATCTCTTCAAGAGAAGGTTAACTTAAAGCAACGGTTTTTTATCTTCTGTTTTATTTTCGGTCGTACGAATTAAGAGACTTGAAGGATGATGATTTTGTTTATATATTTATTTGTTTGGCGGTTTTACTTCGCCCGAGACAAATTGCCATGGTCAATTCTAATCCTAATTCTAATTCAATTCTGATTTTAAATTTGTGGACTAACAAAACTTTAACAGAATATGTCAGTTTTCATTTCTTTGATAGAAGCTTGCATATTACAGATTTATAATGTAATTAAAAGAAAAGAAAAATTCACAATAAATTAAGTCATTTCTTTCCTTTAACCCGACAACAAAGATTAAGCGCTTTTACACACATCCACATTTTTCCACAAAATATATTTTTATATATGTAATATGCATGTAATGTCCACATATGCGCGCGTTGCTGAATATATACATCTATATATAAATACACATGTAATATATTTATAATAAATTTGAAACTTGTGTTCTATTACTTATTTATCAAATTTTTTTTATTATCGTTAGATTATTTTTATTAATATCATAATCATTTTATTTAATAATATACATATGCATTCATTCTTGTCCTCTTCACTCGACAGCTCAAGCCTTTTTCGCCCCTTTTCCGCAAACAAATAAATAGAACTAACATTCCTCACCTTTCCCCCACATTTAAATTCACTTTTTTTTTTAATAATACTACTTTTTTAATAATACTTTTTTTAATAATTAGACGTTTTTTCTTAATAATTAGACGATTTAATATTAAATTCACATAAAATGAAATCCAATACTCTTGCAATTTTATTGACTTTTCTCGCCATTATAGCATTGGCAAATGCTCAGAATACCACTACAAGCAATTCCACCGCCACTAACTCTAACTCTACTGCGCCTTCTCCCGCTCCTACAGATGGTTAGATGTTATAAATATAATGGTCATTTGTAGGAATTCTATCCATGAAAATATGATACTGATGTTTTTTTCTTGGTAATAGATAACAAAATAGACCAATGTATTAAAAAGAATAACTGTGCACCCACCGACCAGACTTGCCGTTCCATATGCGCAGGAGTTCCAAACCCATCGAAATCAGATGTTAACAGTACAAACGATTGCGTAGCTAAATGCAATTCAAGTAAATAACGCACCATTTTTATCATGCAGTTCAGCATATAATCATTTTCATGCTAATTTATTTCTTTTAACAGCTCTCCCTGATAACAACGCATACAAGAGTTGTGTAAGTGGTTGTGTAACAAACAATTACTATAATCCCAATACAACTTACGCACCACCAACTCCTACCGCTTCGTCCGGTGGCAATTCAACCGACAACAGTGGAAATGGTAGTAAAACAAGTAATACAGGCCCTACATCGGGTAGTGGTAGCGGCTCGAACAGTTCCAATTCTTCTTCATCGGGTAATCATGCTTTCAATACCCCATCACTCTATTCATCATCGGTCTATTCAGTTGCAATGTTGTTGATTTGTGCAATGGTTGGTTTGTCGAGTGTTGGTTTCTAAAGGAATTTTATTCTATAATATTTCGTTTTTCATTATCATGTTATATTATTATTTAAAATAATCTTTGAGATTCCCGGGAAGTTAATTTATTTTTGCTGCAATCATATATCTTTACTAATAATCCTTACTATAATTGCTACATAAATCACACCTAATAATATGTGCAAGTTGGGAAGTTATGTATCCGAACTTAGAAAGAATTAATTAATCAAGAGAGCATAATAACAATAATACAAAATTCAAAGTTAACACGAATTAATTTTCACTTGTTTATACAAAACACATTATTCCTTGTATTTCTATAGAATAATAATCAATCAAGTGATCAATTTCTTTATTCGTAAAAACGAATTCGTTCCAGTGATTGAAGAAAAACAGCTTTTTTGTGGCTGATCTATTTATTTGGTTGTCTTCTTTATCGAGGCTTAACAAATATCGTGTTTTTGTTGTTCATTGAGGATTAGAAGCAAATCAACCTGAATGTGTTTGGATAAATGCAAACTGCGAAGAATTGTTTGAAATTTTATTACATATTGTCGGTAACAAAGTTTCCTCTAATTATCAAAACTTGAAAATGTGTTAGCGTTATTGGTTCTGAAAGATTATATATATAAATGTATGTCTTCAACTTGTGAATATAAATATTGTTCTTTAAACATTATATTCAATGTCTAGAATATGCATATTTTATTATAGTTATTTAATTTTGCTTTCTCAAAAATAATAATAAAATTTGTTTATAATTGAATTAGAGGCTTAAATTTTTTTAAGCTCAAATCTACACTCAGTCACCGGACACATTTTTAGCATATGTGTCGATCCGATTCGATTCATGGTGGTAAAAATCACGTGGATTGAATCATTAATACACATTGCATTCAGTAATCCAAAACATGTGATTTTATTATCGTTTATCCCGATTCAATGAATCAAATGGTATAAAAATCATATGCATCAGACTACAATTAATTTTTAATAAGATATAAATTTTGATAATTAATTATATTAATAATATTCAAAGTCTAATAATAATTTATTATTATAAATTCAAAAACTCGTCTATTTTTTTTAAAAAAGTAATATGCTATTTATATACACACCCCTACAATATATTACCGGAAATTTCAAAAATGAAACTATCATTTTGGAACCCAATTTCTCATAATCC